AGGTAGCCAATCCGAGCATTAACCATTTGAAATCCGACTATGGCATTATTGTTCATAGCCTAAACTTGCTCATTTAGTGCTTCAAACCAACTCGTTGCAATTATTGTTCATGGTTTGAACTTGTTCACTCAACATGTCAAACCGACCATTTACATTGATCCGAAAGTTATCCAATCGTGATGCCAATTGCTCCATCCTTTCCAAATATCCACTTGAAGCACCTACTTATGGAACCTCTTTGGCTATAGGTTATGCCTCATCATCACCCTCTCCATCATTGTCACTTTCGACCTCTTGCCTTGGTCTCTTGTTTGGCTAGATAAAGTACCTTTTCCTTGTCTTCTCCAACAACTTAATTTTTATCAATTTTTTAAAGGTCAAGCGCTCCAACCTTTTTGCTAGCATTAAGGTGGTGGTGTTCCTATTGAACACCCTCACTCTCTCGGTAATATGGGTTATAAACCCACCCATAACAATTCCACCATCCGTTAACTTCTTCACCGTCAAGAAGCGATCGACCGAATGTAGGTGAAGTCTACCTTCATCTTTTGAGTGATAAACAATAGGATTGCCAACTCTAAGTTACTCACCACCATATTGTTGTTCTCCCTACCACATAATGTCCATACAAGTACTCGTTGTATGTATCGAAAAACTAAATTTATGATCACCAAGGCTTTCGATCGTGATGGATTATATACCTTATGTAGTGAACCCATTATTTTCCTCCAAAAAGGCTTCCTAAACCCGACAAATGGTTGCTTTTCACCCTCATATGGCCACACAAACGTATCCGTTATGGTTTCGACATCAACACTACACTTCTTATTTGCTATTCCGAATGTAAAATAATCACAAGCCAGTTGTTGATCCTTCATTAATGTTTCTAAGTGAAACAAACCCAAGAACTCCAAGGTCACTTCCTTATAAGAAGGAGCATCCATCCTTAACAAGCTCACCGATCCTATATTCTCTAGCATTTCCCTCACTTCTCTCAACAAACCCACTATTCTAAAGCTTGAATATCCACATACTTGTTTGACATAATTCTTCTATTCTTCAAGACTTTATTATGGACTTCTTGATCTTCATGTACAAATTCGATTCTAAGGTAAGATCCGGATAGGTAGCTTTTCCATCGAGTCGCCTCCTTTCGACAAGTGCCCTTTTCGAGGCATGCCACTTACTTTTCCTTATCTCTTGAGGTACACATTCTTGTCTTTGGGGTAGCTTTGGATGAAAAAGGATGAGGGTTCTTTAGTTATTTTGTGGGTGGTGAAGGGGAGGTTCTTTGGTGGTTTATAACGGAGAAGTGGTATTGATTTATGAAGGTAGGATGGTTTAGGGGCTACTTATGTGTGAGAGAGGTGGAGATCTAAATGAGATGAAAGAATGAAGAAGAAGAGGCTAGCAACAAAAATTTGGTTTTGGAGAAGATAAAGTGACACAACTAAGGTTTTAGTTTATATAGGGGTAGGTTTTAAGGGAGTCAAGCCATGTGACTTTTGGGCTCGAGAAAGACACACCCGTATGAATTCCTTGTGCAAACCATGTATGTTCCTCTCTACTCGTATGCCTTTTCTCTTCCCAAACATACAATCGTTTAAATTCCACACGATCGTGTAAAATTCCTTCTTCAAATGGTGTGAAAACATTCTGCTTTTGTCCCTTGTAATTTGAAAAACTTCTTCCAACTCACATGGTCGTGTCAAATTACTACACAAATTGTGTGAAAACTATTCTACTCGTGTCTTTTCTCTCTCTTGGAATCTGAATTATCCCAATTGAGTCACAAACTCGTATGCCTTTTGCTACACAACCGTGCGTAACCCCACTCGCTCGTGTTATCTCTCTCCTCTTCTTCAAATTCCATCCATCTTTCAAGCATACGGACATGCCATTTCCTTCTATAAACTATGTCTTTGGCTATTGTTCATATGTCTTTCTCTCATGTTTCAATTTCTAGTCCTTTTTCCGAGCACAAGGGCATGCCATTCTCTTCTTTAAATCGTGTCTTTGTCTATCGCCCGTGTGTCTCTCCCTTGCTCTTTGAAATTTCAACAAATACACACACACGATCGTGCCATTTAACCGCATAAATCATGTGAAAATCCACTCGCTCGTGTGTGTGTGTTTTTCTTTGCTTAGCATACCAAAATACCTATGCTGCAACATCCTTTCAATTAAGTCAAGTATGGGTAAAATTTAAATATCCTTTGCTCGCATGACAGTTTGTAACTGTGTTATTTTAGATATTTCGCTTACTAGAAACTTATCAATATTTGACAATGAAGTGATGGATTGTTTAAATATTAAACACAAGGTCCTTAACTGGTTTCATGAGCTATCCTTATTATTTTGTTCGAAGAAAACCCCTTGCTTTCACGATAGTCTTTGTTTACTTACTTTAGGCACTCGATTACAGAAGGCTGGACCTAACAGGTGGTGCTAGATTAAATGACAATTTCCTCCCTCGAGTAAGTTGAAGTTAAATACTAACGGAGCATCAAGAAACAACTTATGCAATGGTAGTGGCATTATTTAGGATGATAGGGGTAATTTGTTTTGGCTTTCTCAAATTTTGATGGGCCTAGAACTAGCACTAAAGGGGAAGCTCTTGCTTTTCTAGATCGTATCAGACTTTGCAATGGCCTTAACCTGCATTTCGACATAATAAAAGCTAACTCACTATTGATTTTGGGTTGCCTTTCCTGCTCAATCTCTTGCCCTTGGTAGTTGACTTATATTGTCAGGAAGTGCTGGGAATGCCTAATGCTAGATACCATCCTTCTCCATTCATATAAGGAAGGTAATATGGCTACGAATCGTCTTGCAGACTGAGTGTTTCAACATACTTCCTCTAAAACTATCTTTTTAGCTACTAATTTGTCTACCTCTTGCATAGCTGCTATCTTAGATGACATATTAGGTCTGTTTAACTTTCGTCCTCAATAAGATATGAGTGTTAGAGCCATAATCATTTTAATTATAGTCTCTTTTGTGACTGGTTTTAGGTAACTTTTAGCTTCTTTTATTTGTAGTAATTTTTAGTTTGTTGTAAGTCCTTTTTCAGAAAACTTTCCTGTAACTTTTCAGGGAACTTCATTGTAAATTTTCAGAGGCTTAGACTTTCTTATCATTCCAGTATGCTAGGTTAGGCTGGTTTGTCCCCTCCTTTTTATTTTTCACGTTTCATCTATGATATTCCAAGCTACCATCTTGCTCTCACAAAACAAAAAAAATAAATATATAAATAAATAAAATTGCTAAACAAAATAATAACAATTACCTAGATTTTATTTTAAGTTTTCTTTTTTAACTCTTATACTTCAAAAAAAAAAAAAAACATCCACAGATCTACATTTCTATACAAAAACCAATTAATTTTGTGACCAACACATCAACATCTTTTCTTTTTCCTTCTTCTCCATGCTAAAATAATAATAATAATCATTCAATCAATCAATTGCTTTTGCCTTTTCCATAATTAGCCATAGTTTCTTTCTCTTGACCTTGTAAAAAAAGAATTTTCATAAATTAAATTGGTAATAGAATTTGAAGAAAAATAACAACAAACACAAGCTCTGATACAAGCAGAAGAACAAACACAATTCCACATCCTTTTAAGAAGCCATAGTTATTCTGACTTTTAAGAGGACCAAGAAGAGAAACCGAAGATTAATTTTGTTAACACACTTCTTGTTACTCTGCTAAAGGATCCTTAGCTATTAATTGATTTTGACAAAATTGTTTGCAATTCTACTACAATCTCAAGTGATTTAAATTAAGATGACCTTGACAAAATTTAAAACACCACTATATCATTTGGTTAAATTTGATTAATCAATTAGTACCATCTTGATTCACACTCGAGCAAAACAGAGAAATTTCTCTGAGCTTCATTAATCAAATCACAAGTTATTCCTCTACATAGCATAATGTTCTACTTATAATACCCATATTCAACCGCATCAAGAAAACAAAACCCTTGTTACATTCAACCACTAAGTCATTTCCATACTCAATTAGAACTAATTAATTCTATCTCAAGACTCTCTAATCCTTACATACAAAAGATTCTTTTATGTAAAATAAACTAAACACTAATACACTACTCCGAAAATAGGCAATTCAAATTGAACAAGGTCATTTAGATTAGACAAATTAATCTTCCAATAAAATAACCTAGACCCAAAAAGATAACCTAAAAACAACCTGAGATTCAACCTAAAATGAAAAGTTGGGCCACACTCCAATGTCATCGAAGTTACATTACAAAGTGACCGAACTAATTTTTCTAGATTTTATTTAATTATAATGTCTGAATTTAACTGATGGAATGCATTATAAACCACTGCAATTGCAATTATTATAAACTCCACAACAGTAGACACAATGACTTTGATTACGATTTTCAAAGAAAATTAATATAATTACACCAAATTAAAAATCATGTGAATGAATTTTTTTTTCTTGTCCAGTATAGATACAGCTATATTAGAATACACACTCCAAACATTAGAAAAGGCATTATTCCATTATGTCTCATGCTTACTAAACATAAGACAGAACAGTTGTCCAGTTACTTGTCCAATCCAATATGCACCAAATATAAGAACACTTGGACAGAATAGTTATTTGTCCAGTCCAGTCACTACCATATAACATACCATATAACATCTTGGTTGAAATTCCAGGAACACCACCTAAGCTTAATTTGCAACAAGAAGATGGCCCGAGTATCAAGACTAAGCCTACCTCTTACTTTGATCAAAGATAAATTATCCCCACCCGGATCAGGAGATCCCATGCCCAAACTACAGAAATGTAGCGACTCAAGTTTTGACTTTCTATATATATATATATATATATATATATTTAAACTAAAGTAATGCTCACTTGATTTAGCTGGGTATCTCCGAAAGTGGCCCAATGGTAACAAAGTGGAAACCAAAACAAGCAGGCTAGGGATAAAAATAAAAGGAGCAAGCACATAATCGTTAGAACCGTCGGATATCTTTTGGTGGCTTGAAGTTGAGGGGATGAGTTTCTGGGGTGGCATCTTCATCTTCTTTCCACATTTTTATTGTCTTGTCAGCTTCACATGTAACAAGCCTTGAACCAGTTACATCATAGGAGATAGCATAAATACCAGCTTTACTATCCAATGAGCCTGGAGCAAAATAGATTTCAGCATAAACCTCTTCTCGATTCCACACAAACAAATCTACAAAAACAAAAAAAAGGTGAGGGGAGACATACCAGGCTGTACAATTGTCTGGGCTTGTTGGAAATTATGACCACTCTTCCAATCCAAGAACCATAAACTCCCATTGTCACCTAAAACAAACGAGTTAAAAACTCGTAAAGATCAAAAACTTTGTTTCAATATAGGTACATGTGAGGGAGTAAGTCAATGGTCATCCCATCCACCCAAAGAAAAGAAAACAAACCAATTTTTGGGAATAAATAGAGTTCTGTAAGAGGATATCATGGCCTAAAACCAAGGATTAATAGCCTAGGGATTTTATGGCCTAATGGACAGGCTGTTTGGTAGGCATAAAAAGTCAGGCTTTAGACATGGACTTTGATTGATTATCTCTATCTGGTTAGAAACTCTGCCATGTTATGATTTCTAACAACAAATCAGTAAAGCTTAGACCATCCTGTTACTAACTAAAAAGTACACTAAAGCGTACCTCCTGTAGCCATTACACCATCTTCATTGACAGCCATTGCATTGATGATGGTTTTCTGCTGAGAGCTGCTCCAAAAATTAAATATCAGGTTATTAGACGTTATGTTGACAAAATATCATTATAAAGATGCCAGATGCATGCATCGAAGAAATCAGATCACTTCTTAATAATCAATCAAAATTCGGCAGTGCCTTTGTTTTCAAACTAATATTCAGAGAAACTTTATGCAGAGTCCCTGAAAGAAAAGGATTCTTTCAGATGTTAAAGGAGGTTCCCTTTCCATGGATCAAGCAGGTATGCCTGCAGCCCAATTTCTGTGTATTAACAACCTAGGTTACCAACATCGCCACAGAGGATGTAAACAACTGAAGAGGCCAAAACACATTAAGAGCTGTGTAAATATATAGGATACCCATTTCAAAACCAGTTCGCCCATATAAAGAGCAATAAAGACAAATATTTTAAGGGTAACAGAATTTCTTTTAAGAATTCGTAATTCATTTTACCAAGCCTTAGACTATCTTAAGCAATTGAATCATCTAACAGAATCTCAGTCATCAAAATACACAGGACAGACATAAAATATGAAATACATATATGTATGTACACATGTGCATGACTGAAGAATTTAAGCAACTAGGTGTTTGTGTTTGAGAACTTACAGCATGTTGTGTAAAAATTCTCCTTTTGGAAGATTGAATTTCTTAATGTTGTCAGCTGATGCAGATGCAAAGCAATGCCTGCAGCGCATGCGTGCACACACATACCAAAAAACATAGAGCATATATAAAAAGGAAAGCACAATATACCGCATCATCTAGCAAGTAATATCCGTGGCATATGTACTTACTCGGTCGGATGCAGTGCCATGGCTTGCACAGATTTCTTGTGATGTGTAAGAGTTAAGATAGTCTTACCTGCAAGCCAGGAACACCATTAAGCTAAACTTGCAAAATCTTTAGTATGAAAAAGTAAAAGGGACCCTCACAAGAAATATAACTTTACCATATCTAAGGTCCTAGAACTTAATAGTTGAGTCATGAGAACCAGTAACCACTTGTGGATCCTGGAAATAGAAAGAAACACATTTAACCAATGATGCTAGAGATACAAAAAAAGAGCTTGAACCAAGAAAAAAAATTAATTTTTCCCTATCTTGACTTGCACTTAACAAACACAATAATCTCATTTGAAAATTTCTTGCATGAGGCAGCATAGGTAATCAAGAGAAAAATGTAATCTGAAACAAAAAATAATAAGGAAATCACAAACCGTAGGTGGAGTAAAAACTGAGCACACTGTGTTATCATGTCCAGACAGTGCAAAAACCTGCACCTTGGTACGTAAATCCCAGACCTGAGAATAAATTTGACATGTTACCTTTCTATATGAAAAAATAGCAAGAATTTTAAATATTGATTAGGTGGATAGCCAAGCATACTGCACACACTATTGTAGGAAGAAAACTACATAACACGAATAAATTCCATACCCAACAGACAGAATAATGTCCCCCAGTAAGCAAAAGGTCAATAGAGGGATGAAGGACCAAGCAGTAAACACCACTTAGATGACCATGATAAGACCGGACAACCTATACAGAAACATGAATTTCACAAGCAGATTCACTCACGTTATAGCTCTGGATACGTTAATTAGGTATAAGTTTCACCTTATTCTGTTCAAGGTCCCAGCATTTAACCTGTTTATCATCACCAGCAGAGAACATGTAGGTATGTCTTTGCCTAATGGCAAAGCCTGCAAAGACAGACAGTCTTAACATTTGAAGCCACTAACAGCATGATTACCCATAAACAACCAGCAACGATTAATTAGAAACTAACCTTGTACTTGCTCGATGTGTCCAGTCAGTGTGAGCTTTAACCTTCCACTTCCTACATCCCATATCTGGTAGACCAAAAAAAAAAAAAGTCATCAGAAACTGCTCGTACATATTGGGGGAAACCTAGTCTAGTTTATACTCCAAAATCTAAATAATGCAGGGGAACAGTCATTGAAGGACTAATTTGGCACTCCTGAAAAATAAAAACCTTTGCAACACCATATATAAAGTTCATGACATTTTTGGTAATTATCTCCTGGCTCCATCCTTTTGCATCAGAACTCAATTCTCATGGACTATTCAGCTCTCAAATGGTCAAGTATGTCAGATCTTGCTATTTCTTGAAAATACATTTTCTGAACATCTAAATATGAAAACTGATTATGCTGAAATTTAAAATTTGTAAAACCATATATTTATCTAGCTCCATAGAAAGATCTGGATTTTGTTACCCCAGATAATGAATTTGAACCTCAGATCCAGTAATATAATGAGAAATGATGTGATTATCAAAACATGTGAAAGAGAGTGAGGTGGTGGGAAAGTGAACCATAATCATGAGTTAGTTGGCTTTCAAACAAGCCAAGTACTTGTAAGATCACTTATCCAGTAGTCAGTGCATGCCATCAAAATAAATAAATCACTGAACATCATTAAAAATTTAATACCTTAATTGTTCGATCTGCAGAACCAGTACAAAACCATGTATTACTTGGATCAAATGCAATAGATCTCAACCAACCCAAATGACCACTAATGACTTACACAATCAACCAAAGAGCGATGAATACCATATTTAAACACAAACTAGATGCATTCAAAAAGCTAAACCATAGGTAACCAATGGATGATCAGTAGAAAAATTGTCCAATGGAACTTTTACAAAGATATATTTTTATGGAAAAAAGACAAATATCCCAGCATTAGAAGCAGCGATGCGGCAATATCAACATCCAAACATGTGAAGGCAATTGAAGAGCTCATACAACAAAATCAGCAGTACACTGGCCATCTAGTTTAGGTAAGCAAGAGTCAACACATGATAGGATGATTATAGAAATTAATCTTTTCCACTACATCCCTAATTTTCTGGCCCGCCTTTCTGCACATTCATTGTTGTGAGTGAATGCAAGTATGAAGAGATAGCCATATCCAATGTTAAGAAGGACTAGACTAAAAGAGAAGAATAAACAAATAGATGCACAGTAATAAATTTGTATGCAGACCGGACATGTTCTACTAGAACCACTTTTGTTGAAAGGAACAAAAGAGACATAATTTATTACTTGCAAGTGAAATTTGAGCAAAGTACCCATACAGCCAACAAACCTTCCCTAACAAGAGTAGAAAAATTTTACCCTGTAGTTCTTCCATGGAGAACGCCAGACCATGGAGAACACCAGACAGGGCGTGGCCATTTGTTGGGTATTCTTTCCATTACAGCAAAGGTTGAGAAATTCCTATAAAACCGAGAGCAAATGGTAAGCCAAATAGTCATATTATTTGGGACAATACCAATTAGGACTAAAAAAAATGTTACGTACGAGTATCAAGCAACATATATTGGGGGAAAAAACAAAAACTATCCTGTCTAAAAAAGCAAAGCAAGCAACATAGATATTTGAAGGGGAAAAGAAAAAGTGTGAGGGCACACATCAATATAAATATGCATGTGTAGAGATGTGTCTCTCATTTATTAGTAAATATTAAATGAAACAAAAAACAGAGGAACATAAACCTTTCAGATGATCCAGAAGCAGTAATCACTGTGGTGCTTTTGCCCGAAACACAATCATTCCTGAAAAGAATATAAAAATTATTAGTTAACAGAAAAAAAATTCCTTGGTAAACATAACACACTTCCATGCCAATGAAACTAAGAAAAGTCTATAGACCATAGCATAAGCCATAACTCCTGACTTCATACTATAATTATATTCAGTATCTGCATTAATCATGATCAGCATCTCAGTTTATCCTCCAAAGAAGAAGTGGGGACAAGCTAAGGACCTCTTCAAGTAAGGCTGGGATGACAAACAAAACATAACTCCAAAATGAACACATTTGCTGATTATAAAATGCATTGAAATTAAATGGTTGAAATATCAGAAAAAATATATCCAGCAGGAGAGATGAGAGAAGTAAGATATATCAAAAGGGTTATTGTTGTTCATGCTAATCATTACAATAAAAATAAATAGAGAGAGAGAAAGTGAGAGAAAACTCAGGGTGCCTTTGGTTGCAAAGATGGACCAACCAACGTATTTTGAGCTCCACTTTTTTGTGAAGTCCTAGAATCACTAGGACCTAAAAAAACAATAAAAGCACATCACCAATCAATGAATTGTAACCAAGTCAGTGAACGAAAATCCAAACCAACCAAATTCATTCTCAGGAGATTTTTATTTTTTGTCTTAATGAATCAGCAATTATGGGGAAAAAAATAGAATTTAATTTAATACTTGGTGATGCTATTAGCATAAGCATGTTAAAGTGCAATCACGTATATATCAATACCCATAAGAGCAAGGACGTTAGAAGACCCTGAAGCTTCCGCTGTGGTAGAATTAACTTGTGGAGGTGCGATTTCACTCACGCTTTTGATTCCTTTATACTCCACATTTATCTACACAACAAATTCCAGTAAATCCACAGCTATCAATACAACTTTACAATAATAAATTTTTTAAAAAAGAAAAGATAATCACTAATTTCGTACCGAAGAAACAAAGGGAGATTTTGAACTAACCTTGTGGCTCATTCGAATTCTTCTACTGCAGTAACATAACAACAAAATCACAATTAATAAGGTTAAAAAAAAAAAAAAACAGATCGATAGGGTTTTAGAAATGAGATATTTAAAATTTTAAAAGAACTAAAAATTGCAACCTTTCAGGATCGAGGGTTCGTTTTAGGGATCTGAAGCTTAGTTTTTTCAGTGATTGTGGCTCTATTGGCTCCATTTCTAGGGTGAGGCCTAGCATTCATGTCGTCTCCTTCAACCAGCTCTCTTTCTGTTTCTTATAGTGAGTCACTGGTAACTAGGGTTTTTGGAGACAGCAGAGAGGGTAGAGGGAGCCCGTGTCCAAGTGGATGTCTTAAATATATACCAATCGCATGACGATCGTGGTTTGTATTTAGCAAAACTTGAAGGCTGCGAGGAGGAGATGAGTTGGGGGGGCTAAGGGAGGTAGGTTTAAATGTTGTGGGCTAGTGGGGTTGGATGGTTTTGATTTATTAGAGGCCCATGTGGGCTGTTCGGAGGGGTTATGAGGTGCTAGTGTGTTAGTGGGCTGGTCAGTGTGAGAGGGCTAAATAGGTATCGGAGGCGGGTCAGTGTTAGTGGGTTGCACATTTATCACGGGCTGGTTAGTATGAGCGGGCTCAGTAGCTTGGTCAAGACTTGGGGTTTGATGGCAGGAGAGATTTGGGGGTCTTATTTTTGCGGGTTGGGCTGATTTGGTAGGGACTTTGGGTGGGGCAGATGCAGGGAAGCTGATTTGTGGGGAATTTGGAGAGAAATGTTTGTAGGGGTTGGTGTAGTTGGAAGCAATATTGGGAGAGTGGACATGGCGGCTGAATTTTTGATAGTGGAGTGAGCACTTTCATTGGCATCCTTAAATGGAAAGACCTATTTATCAAAGATAACATGGTGTGAGACATAATTTTTATTGGATCTAATATCTAAGCATTTAGACCTTTTATGTAAATTGCTATAGCCAAGGAAGACACAACGAACCAAGCGAGGTTTTAATTTATTTTTGGCATATGGGCGTAGCTAAGAATATTAGAGACAATCAAAAACACGCAGATAGCCATAATCCGAATTTCCTACAAAAGAGTTTCATGAGGAGATTTATGATCAAGTAATGGTGTAGGGAGACGGTTGACACAATAGACGACGAGTGAAAAAAGCATGATCCCAAAAGTATAAGAGTACCGATGCATGATGAAGTAAGGCTCGCCGGTTTCAATGATGTGTCCGTGCTTGCCCTCAGCATAGCCATTTTTTTCGGTGTGTAAGGGCATGAAGCCCACTCGAACAATGCCGGATGCGACTAAGTGAGATGTTAGGCTTTGAAATTCACCCCCAGGTTGGCTCGAAATTTTTATTTTTTGACTAGTTGCTGAAATTTTTAAAAGCAATTAAGGACTTCATACTTGTGTTTGAGAAAATAGATCCAAATATATTTATCGTAATGATCATAAAATAAGAGGTAATATTTATGACCTTGCAGAGATATAATTGGAGATGGTCCCCATAAATCGAACATGTTATTTCTAAAGAAGCTTGTGCTAGAGAAGTTGAAATGGAAAATGGAAGTTTATGTGCTTTTCTAATGCGACGAAGCATAACACAAAGTTTGTTTGTGAATTTGAGAAACAAAAATATTAGATCGACTCAAAAATTTTGCTACGGTACACATTGACGCATGACCGAGACGAGTGTGCCATGTGATCGGATTACATGAGTGAGCTTGATCGGGAGGGGATGAAGTGGAAGACTTAATTGGTATGGTGTAAAGGCCATTGTCCGGAGGTCCTTTGTGGAGTTTTTTCTTTGTGTGGATATCCTTAATCAAGAAATAATCGGGAAAAAATTCTAAAGAGACATTGTTAGTTCCACTAAAAGCGCATACGTATAGCAAATTTTGACGGGAATAAGGCATATAAAGAATATGATTAAGTGTATAAGAATGATCATGCATAGATAAGGAGGACGTGAGAAATAGGGAAGGTATTACCATTACTTATTATGACTTCTTCGGGTCCCAAATATTCAAAGTGAATAGCTAGGTTGTCAAGATCTCGCCGTGAGATGGTGTGTAGCTCACTATCAAGAACACATTTGGGGTTGGTTTGGGTGGATGCAAGATGAGATATGGATGTGGGCGACCAAGATGGTCGAGTTGCATTGGTGTATTTGGGAGAGGAGCAAGTTGAGTCGAGATGCCCAATTCCACGACAATTATAGCAAGTTGGTACCATGGTGGGTGATGGTGTAAGAGACCGCAAGGTGAGCCGGAAAATTGACGTGTGTTTGGCTGGTTATAAGAGTAGTCACGGCCCCTCCAGCTTCCTCGGCCACGAGAGGCGGAGGGCTGGAGGTGTGCGTAATGAGCGGTGGGCGAATTTCGGATGCATGGGAGACATCTTTCTCACTTTTTAGTTGGATTTCTTCACCGAGTAGTAAGCCGAATAAGTCATCAAAGGTCACTAACCGTAGGCAAGCTTCAATATTGCATGTGAATGGTTTATAATCGGCACCTAGACCATCCAAAATAACATCAACAAGATCATCCTCTACGATGGGGTGTCGAAGGGCCGCAAACCGATCGGAGATGTGCTTTGCACACTCGCATGTAAGTTGTGATTATCATCATTCTTATGATCCAGATTGATGAAGGAGGGATTTCAATTATCGAACCTTAGCACGAGAGCCGGAGGCATAAGTGGAGGTGAGTTTCTACCATGCCTCTTTGGCGGTTGTTACTCCAACCACTTGTGATAGAACACCTTCGGATAGGGAGGTAGTTATCCAGTCGAGTACTAGTTGATATGTAACAAACCAATTCTAATAGTGTGGGTTAGGGGCTCCATCTATTTGAGCAGGTAGGGGGATTGCAGAGCCATTAACATGGTTTACGACCTTGTATCCTCGGAGAATGGGGTAATTTGGGTGAGCCATAAAATATAATTTGTGGAGTTAAGTTTAAGGGAAAGTTGGTGTTGGACGTGAGGAAGAGAAATAATGTGTGTGATTGCTCGGTGGGGAGACTCTCTTGGAAGTTCGGTGGATTTGGAGGAGAAAAATTCGTCATGGTAGGGTCGTATGTGATTTGGGGCTGGAGGAAGGAGATGATGAACGAGTGACGCACCGGGGAAGGAAAGAGCTAAATGGTGATAAGTTGGATAGTGATGATTTAGGAGGCGAGTGTGTTTTGTTTGTGATGGGTGGCTTGTATGCTGGGTGGTATATTGGTTTGTGAAAGAATGTAACAATAACATGCCGGAAACGGGAAAGAACAGAGGAAAAAAAAAGAACGAAGGGGAGAGAGGAGTTTTGGAGCGAGTGGTTGTTAAGCCTAGTTTTGCTCTAATACCATAAAGATCCAAAAAGTAAGTTGCAAGGAATTATCTTACTTGTATTATGTGCTACAGAAACTCTTTAAATAGAGTTTCGAGTTACGAGAGATAAAGATGAATATACACTAGAGTTCTTATTACAATAAGTTATTGTAATGGATACAACTTCTAAAGATTATCTTGACTAAATCCGATCCTTATCGTTTGAGTAAATTACTAGTTGGATACCCGCGCTATAGTGTGGTTCGACAACCGATTATATACATAAAGTTAACAATTCGTATGGTACAATACGGATAAAAATACTATCTCTCATAATTAATATAAATCAAATTTATTTGCTTGAGCAAAATTCTTTGATTTATATATATATATATATATATATATATATATATATATTTATTAACAAAACATTATTTTAATTATCTTATTTAAAAGATATTGATTTCAGAACATAAAAAAGAATAAATAACAAATAATCAATTTTTCGTGTGCGAGATACATAATTAATTTTTAATAAAACTAATGATATATATATATATATATATATATATATATTAATTATTTTATTTAAAAAATATTGATTTTAAAACATAAAAAAGAATAAATAACAAATAATTAGTGTTATGTATGTAGATACATAATTAATTTTCAACAAAACTTATATATATATATTGATTTTAAAACATAAAAAAGAATAACTAATAAATAATTAGTGTTATGTATGCAGATACATAATTAATTTTTAACAAAACTAATATCTATCGTACTTAGTAAATAATTTTAAAAAAAAGTTTAAGTTGCACGGAATACATTAAAGTCATTAATTGAAATAAAAACCATTACAAAATTAGTTTTCATAAATTTTATTTCTTAATTTATGATGAAAGAGATTATTGAGTTACAAATTAAATTATAAATTAATTCATCTCATTTTGGAAAATGAATTAATTAAGTTTTTTGGTTTCAAAAATAAACTACTTAATTTTATTAATCAATGTTGAGCACGAATAATTTTTTTTTATTTAAATTTTTTTCTCATATTTTTATTTATTTATATATTCATTCTCTATTTCTTAGAACAAAAAATAAAACCATTGAAATAGCAAAGAGGATATAAAAATTAGTTTTTGAACCAAAAGGACCAATGGTATTATGTATTTAGATACATAATTAATTTCCAACAAAACTAATGATATATATATATATATATATATATTATGATCATATTTAGTTGATTTAGAGTATACGAGTATAAATAAATTTTTTTAAAAAAATTATCTAAGTTGTATGGAGTATATTAAAACTAATAAATTGAAACAAAAACTACTACAAATTTGATTTTTATAAATTTTACTTCTTAATTTATGATGAAAGAGATTCTTGAAATGCAAATTAAACTATAAAATTAGTTCTTCTCATTAAAAAAATAAAATAAATTAATTATTTTTATTTGAAAAATAAATTATTTAATTTTTTTAATTAGTGTTGATCACGAATAATTTATTTTTTTATTTAAAAAAATACCTTTTTCCATATTTTTACTTTTTTCTCTCTCTCGTTTCTTAAAAAAAAAACATTGAAATAACAAAAAGGACAAAAAAAAATACGTTTTAAAGCGAGAGGGACTAATGGTGTTATATAAGCGGATACATAATTAATTTTCAATAAAACTAATGATATATATATATATGTTGTATAGAATATATCAAAGTCAATAAATTGAAATAAAAACAGCTACAAAATTGGTTTTCATAAATTTTACTTCTTAATCGATGATGAAACAGATTCTTAAACTACAAAGTAAATTATAAATTGGTTCATCATGTTATGAGAAATGAATTAATTAATTCTTTTAGTTTGAAAAATAAATTTTTTAATTTTTTAATCAGTGTTGACCATAAATAATTTATTTTTTATTTTATAAAATATCTTCTTTTTTATATTTTTACTTATTTTTTATTCTTTATCTATTTTTTTTTAAATAAAAACATTGAAATAGCAAAAAGGGTGAAAAAATTAGTTTTTGAACCACATGAACTAATTAATTTGTTTCTTGAAGAAAGAGGGACTAATTTATAATCACTCTTGAATAGCAATTGACTTTGGCTTTCTTGTTGAAAATAAGAAGACAAAAAAATTGAACGAAGACAGGAGCATTAAATGCTCAATTTGAAAAAAAAAAAAAGATAAAATGACAAAAAAGGCCCAAAATAAAATTAAAAAGAGAATCGAGTCAAGAATAAAAATGAAGTTTCTCAAATCCATCGAGTGTCAAAAGAGAAATTAACGAAAAGGCTAGGATAAAAAATCAAGTAACACAATGAATAGTTAATATAAGTCTACAAACAATAGTAAATGAATAATAATTATCTTAGTTCTTTTAGATTTTTCCTACTAATACATATTAAATTAAAATAAAAGATAAAAATTTTATCTAATTTCATAATTTTTAATAAAATTTTGTATTTCATCCGTGCTTCTTTACTTTTTTCATAGATTTTATTGTTAAAAAAACATGATTCATTTTTTCTATTAATTCATTTTTAAATAAAAAACTATAATAATATAAATATAAGTTTTTATAAATATCTTAATATTTTTTTTATAAGGATATATTGGAGAAATATATCAGCAATCTATAAAAATTTGTATAAAAATTAACTAATGAATCTTTTTAAACTTTTTAAAAATATGTACATTTGATATATAGACACATACACACACACAAAATAATAAATAATATTATGTATAAAAACATATATTCGAATTATTACGTGGTTCCTTTAAAATGTTATTTTATTTAAAATAAATTAAATTTAAAAATTTAAAAATAAATAATAGAAAATAGCTGGTGTTATATATGTAAATGCAAAATTAATTTTTAATAGAATCAATCATCTTAATACTTTTTTGTATACATCATTACATCATTACCATCTTTGTATAAATTAAAAAATATGTTTAAAAAAATTAAATTATAAGAAATATAATAAAGTTAATAGAGTGCAATAAAAATAATTTTTTATTTCAAAAAAATTGATTATATCAAGAATAAGGTAAAAAAAACACGTGGATTCTATTATTTGATTAAAAACACATATTAAAAATTCATACACAAAGAAAGATAAATCGTATTTATTAACAAATAAAATTTCATAAAAAATAAAAAATATATTTTGAAAAAATGTGAGACAAAAATGGATTAAGCTAAAAACATGAGATGTCAAAATATTTTTAAGAATATGAGGATTTAAAAATACATTTTGAAAACATAAGGGACCAAAAAGGAATGAAGTGTAAAATTTAAAAATAAATGTCCAAAAAACTATAAAAAATTATGAAAACGCCATTACAAAAAAATAATAAAAATACCACGATGTGAATAGTTAATTAAGGCAAATGAACAGTAAATAAATAGTATTTTACTTTTCATTTGCCTCACTTTAAAAGTTAAAAATTTATAGGCTATTAAAAAAATAAGATTTGAATGTAAAATCTTTAAATATCATGTGCTAAAAATCTTAATTGTTTCATGTATATATATATATATATGAGCCATTAGATTAAGGGATCTACCATCGCGTCTCACATTAAATTATGATAGAGTGATTCATTTTTTTTTTCCATGTGATTTTTTAATACATAGCATTTTTTTTATTAGTCTTAAAAACCCTAAAATTTTATCAATAATTATATAAATTCTCTTTGAAATTTCATTATATACTATCCTGGGATGGAACATTTAAAAATTTGAACTCTATTGCTAGTTAGGATATAAAATTGAAAAGAGAGAATTTAATACGACCATATAAAATATATTTATTTAAATTCTGATATTTATTGATGCAATATTTCTGACTCTTTAATTTTAGCGAGTTTAAATTTAGACAAAAAAATATTTATAAATTAGCATAGTAATTATTAATCTTAGATGCTAACTTTCAGGCGACTAATAAGAGTTTTATTTAAGTTAAAAGTGCAAGTAAACTATTTATAAAATGATTTTAATTTAGCATATGTTTGTCAACGTTCTTGTAATTTAGTTTTCGTGGAATTGGAAGAGAAGGACAATTTTGTTATTATAAGCACTTCTCTTTCTGTGCAAGGGAAGTTCAAAATCTTGGCCAGCTCTTGACTGGGACTTGACCCAGTTGTTTACATGATAGTGAGATTCCAGAACCACTTGCAAAACGTGGAGTAACATGGACCTCTCATGTTTTGACAAAGAATCAATGCCAGCTTTCAGTAGTCTATAATTAAAAAAAAAAAAAGCAAAAAATTACAAAAGTGCCATATTATGTATAGCGATTTAAGGCAAACGAATGATACTTACTGTTCATTTGCCTCACATCTTTCAATTTTATCAGATCTTTTAGTTTTGTTAGTAATAATAGTAAATAACGTAATATTTTTAAATTATTAACAAATACAGTAAAAAAAATATTCCATGTAGTTGGAAAGCGAGCAGGAAGCAGCTGAGCAATTTGTGGGCCTATATCAGTTATGGAGCAAAAGCTCTAGGCCGGCACGACAGTAATGCTCCAAAGTCAAGCCCAAAGTAAATTAAAGAAACAAAACACCACTGTTTCAACAACTTTTCGGAAAGCTTTCAATCTCTTCATTTCTCCTCCTCTGCAATTCCTAATTAATTGCTTTTGCTTCTCTTACAAAAACACAAACCCTTTTCAGACATTCACCAAGGTTCTGGAAGCTGCAATTGGGGGAGCATTCCTCACCAGTCCACTTCCTCAAAACTCAGAAGCTCGATAATAGACAATTGGAGGACATGAAGGCAAAAATGAGATATGTCAGCAAACGGCTTGATGATGCTGAGGATAAGCAGATCACCTCTGAAAAAAAACTCTAAGAGTCAATCTGTGACGCCCCCAGCTCCCTTGTC